CCCCAAAACCCCAAAACCCCAAAACCCCATCAGAACATGATTAGGTGTAAAAATAATTTGAAATGCAGGCATGATTCGGAAATTCAATTTTGTTTTTGCAAGATTAATTTCAAGTCAAAATATTTGAGACCGAGTCTCAATAATTATATTAAATTTTTAGAAAGTTAAATTGAATGCAATTTCAACAGAGATTGAGTAACAAACTTGATTTTATAGAATCACTTAAGTTAGAGCAATGTTTCCGCCCATCTGCTAGGTATCAAATCATTCATTTTATACACTCTATAGAAACATAATTGAACAAGCTTGTTCATTTGCGGTAAGAGACTCTTAAGTAACTTCTTTCAAAAAACCAGAGGCAACCATGTCCACTTAAGGTACAGCAATGAGTACCTAGCTATTAATGAATCCCTTAAATACGGATATTCTGCCCAAGCTATCAAATGATATTGAATTTTCAAAAAATTCTTCACAAAATAATCTAAGAAGTCAATTAGAATATCAATTGATCTCATAGTCCTATTTGAAAAATGATAATACCTAAACTAGAAAAGAACAATAAGATGGTTATATACTAACTCAAAAAGATGATCATAGTCAGAAAATGACCTAAATTCAATAATTCCCAAATATTGCTTAGATAGCCACCACATCCCAACAGAATAATTCTATCGGAACGAATTTGTTGGATAGCAAATTCTATATGTCTTAGAATCCCGCTTATATGAATAATTTTGACCTCTCCCATTTTTCACAAAAGTATGCTTAATGTATAAAAAATGAGTAAGATATTTTCTTGGGTCCAGATAAAGCCGAAAATAAATTATATAACAATCAATTTATGAGTAACAATGACCCAGTCTCACATCAGCAAATAGCAAATAATATACCTAAAATTAATTCAGCATTTCTAGAAAATCAAGACCTCTAAGAACTAGATGACAGATTTAATAATCAAATTTCTGAGTCGCATTTAGCTGTGACAGAAAATCTTAATAAACTTAATTAGGAGCTTGATTCTTCAAAGGCAAAAAAGAAGAAGCTTAACCTGCCTAAGAATCCGTATAATTAAAATAATTTGCAATACTTATAAGAAGAGGATAATTAATATAGAAAAAGGAAAATACCAATTAATTCAAGTCTATATGAAGAATAAAATATATAGATGTTTAAAGATGGCCATAAAAGCGATAGTTTAAATCACTGGCGATCTTAAATTAAATCATCTATCTAAGGCGAGACATAAAACGAATCATTTAAAGAGAGACGAAGAGAGCTTATTCAAACCTTAAAGGAGACAAAGGATAATAAGTAAAGCTTAATTGCTGCTAAACCAAAGAGAAATCACACCAACGTAAATTAGCAAGGCTTTAGAGGCTCTATCTATAGAGGAGTCTCAAAGAACAAAAACAAATGGCAGGTATGTTTTTTGCGAATTAAACCTTTTAGATGATGATAATGGGAAATTTCAAAAAAATGTATGTGGGAGCTATCGACTAAGAAAGAGACGCAGCTCTATTATACGATAAAGTTGCTATATTAACACATGGGCTTAAGGTATTTATATGCTTCTCTTATATTTGAATAGGCAAAGACTAATTTCAGCTATTAAAAGGAAGAAATTGTATAATTCTTGACATCAGAAGATGTATTTTCTGAACAACCTACTATCGGATTAATGTCTGAGAATGAACATTAGTGAGGATCCTGACAGGCCTATAATATATTATAAAGTAGCGACCTAATATAATATTTATGATATGATATATAAATATAAAAATATAACTGGACGCACTCGTAATCCAAATAATGATTTACGAAATTTTCAAATTTTATCTATCTAAAATTATCTTGCTGTGTTCTTAAATTCCAGATGGAGGGGTTTTGGGGTTTTGGGGAGATCGGAAGAGCACAC